TGTTTTATGTGATTTGCTATTGAAGAAAAGTTTTAAAATGTTAGTAAAATGTCAGGAGAATTTGTTATGCAGATCGTTTTTTTTGTTGTTTTTTTCTTGTATTTAGACTTTGTATCTATTTAGTAAAGATCTGTTGTTCATCCCCAAATTGCTTATTCAGTCTTATAGCAATTTAAGTTGGTCAGTTATATTGTAACTGACCGAAATAAGAGACTGTGCATATTGATAAATAAGTATATCAGCTCAAGTTTTACCCAAAATTTTGTTTAATCTTATGGATGAAGTATTAAGATCTTAATCTTCTGTCAGATTATTTAAACTGGGAAAAATCAGAGTTTTTCAATAGAATTGAAGTTAGTTAAGATATACAAATTAAAGCTTTGTCATTTGGATACAAGTGATGTTGGGGTTTTGAAAATCTCTGGAAAATTAAACAAAAAATTATCAACCATTAGTGAATTTAACTAACCAAATTACTGAACAACATACATACTTCAACTTCAGGAATTAAAAAAAAGCTACCGATCAGTTTAACATGTTTTAGATAGTAAAACATTTCTGCAGAGGTTGTAGAAATAGCTATTCCTATCTCATAATACTTTTATGTGTTGATGAAAATCCATCTGTGTACGGATGCTAAGTGACTGAGAACAATGATCACTCCATTCTGAAATAAGATCAAGGTAGTACACATTCATAGAGAGATAATATTTGAATAATCAGTTTAAAAAAAGCCGAGATTGAAGTGAATAATTAATTTATTCAACCTCTTTTTATTGTTCTGTAATATTTATGCTTTCGAACACTCTCTGGTCGGTATATTACTGAATAATGAAGACTACTCTTATAAAATTATTAATGTAGAATAAACGCTTTAATTTACATGATCTAAATCTAAACTCGATCCTAATATTATAAACGGTCATTTTTCTTTAGATAGAGTAATATTGGCATTTTTTATCTAAAATGAAGGACTTGAAAAAACTATCCTAATATTTACTGAATACAGTAAAATATATACACCTAGCGTAACACTTATATCATTGTCAGTAAGGGTTTGAGTTATCGTCTTGTTGATATTTGTGAGTGAGTCTTGATCAGTCTTTGTTAATGGAATAACTCGAACCCTTACCAGTAATGATTTAAACATCATATCCATTAAACAAGTTATTGGTTATCTGGATTCAATAGCTCAGTGGATAACGTCTTAGTATATGAAGTGAAAAGTTGTGGATTATAGCCTGAACGTGAACACCAGTCCAGAGACCCCAATACATCCAGCTGACAAATCTCTCATTGGACAAAGCGACCTTGTTCGATTTCATTGATCACTGCGTTTCATTTACTCCGAAGGAATAATATAATGCTGTTATTTAAGTGTAAATCCACTTCTCTGAGAATAATTCGGGTTTTTTCTCCTTCCTGCATTTCCTTTTACAAATTTATCTTTAGTATTTTTATTCGTATCTCTAAAGTAAAACTCTGTATCTATCTCGTTTTTTTCCACGTGTTCTTTTCTCCACTCTTTTTTTTCAAAAAACGTTTCTTAACTTCTACTTTTTAAATTGCTTTATTTCTAACAGGAAGAGTTCTTCGAAATCTACACATCATTATTGTGACCGGAATTAGTAGAATCATTTCTCTTCAATTGAAATATGTTAATTTCAGTAATCATTTTCAATGATAATTTAATTTCAATTCTATAAAATGTATTTACTTTAGTTTTTATTATTTAACTTCATTTGTATATTCAAAAAAAAAGAAAAAATAATAATCAACCAACTGTTCAAAGAATAAACACTCATATCTACATATGCAATTGTGTTTGTATATGAAAATTGGTTGGAGAGATTACAGTTAATGGGTACAAAATTATATATATATATATATATATATATATATATATATATATATATATAGAGAGAGAGAGAGAGAGAATTAAATTGCTTTAATTGATTTGGTTTGTGTTTCATTGCTTTCTATCCACTTTTTCGCCTTGTTTATTTTTGTGAAGGGAACCATTTGTTTGAAAAGTCTTTATAATGAATTGACATCAATTGGAGAATTGCCCGAAATCATGGAATATTGAATTTATCTCGTCAGTAGTATATTATCACAGATGTATGCACATGGATTAAAACTTAAGAAGCCAAGTCTAACAGTAAACATGATATTGTCAGACCAACTAATTGAAATTTCAAAGATCAACCTATTTGATTTCTTTCAGTTTGTGAAATAGAAGAATGATCCTTTTCTAAGATCACTGGTGAATATTTTGATCTACTTCTAAACGTTGATTCTATCTGTCATTGATTCCTGTTTCTGGGTTACCTCATAAACAACTATCTGGACATTAATAGTTCTTCAATTGATGTCATTTCAAGATGAAGGTTGACATTTTTTCGTACAAATTCATTTTAAAATTTTATCAGTGTTATGGCTTTTGGAAACCTTATCCACTATATCTACTCTTTTTCAATTATAATTATTTATTACAAAAATGAGGACTCATTTCACCATATTTTGTTAATTAAAAAATTTGATTATTAAAAACAAGACCTATTAAAGTAATTTTCTACATTGGTTTATCACTCCATTATGAATTTAGTTAGTATCAAACAATAAACAGAATACAAAATTGATTATCATTTCATAATCAATTGGTGTAGTCGTTTCATTTGTATATGAAGTCAGTTGTTATTCACACTATCTATGGGTAATATACTTGATTGAGATATGGAGTGGTGAATGTTTAAGCCCTCCCTCCCTCCAAAAAATCGAAACAATGTATAAAACTACTACCTACTATTCATTGACTTTCAATAATTTCCTAGCTGATATGAATATATATGATGGAAAATGTCTTGAACCAGTGTTCGTCTGTAAAATTCTTTCTTATTCATATGATCTTTAAGTATGATATAGCTAAGTATAATGTCAGTTCAGTAATCTTATAAGACATTTTGGCAAAAAACTCCGAACTGTTTTAGTAATCTTCAATTTTCCTAAATGAGGTGTTTTAGTAAAATATGAAAATTATAAATTAAATATTTCATTTGCACATCTTCAATCACTTGTCTGTTACAAACTTCATCATTCTTTCATTCCTGTTGCTATTACACCTACCCTTCGTTTATATTCCTGTTCCCCTCAATTCGGTCTTCTTAATCTTCTGTTGTTAGGCATTTCACTTCTGATTGGTGTTACATACTACTTATATCTGTCAACATATGTAGCATACACCATAATACCATCGTTGACTTAATATCATAATTTTTCTCTATTTTAAGATGTGTGTATTTTCTTTCATTAGTTAAATGATTAAAAACAATACGGCTTTCATTGTCATTCTAGTTAACTTTGAATTGGGATAAATTTTGAAATCACAAACTTTTTGTTTATTTATATTAGTAAGAGTCATATTATTCACCATGACTTTACTAAATATTAAACAATAAACTGACACTGAAAGCTTGACTTGTACGAAAATAATCTTTGAAAGTCATGAAACTATAAGAAAATCTATTCATGTGGTGAAAGAGAAATGTAACTTCTAAACAGCTGTATATATACTTCAGGTTTATATCTTTCTGCCTGGATACTGTAAACTGAAAATTGTTATTCTCTACTGTCGATTTCAAGTTAAGCATTTAATCGATTTTATAAATCGGTAAGTAAATATTAACAGAAGTCATTATTTATTAATTATTTGACGGTTAGATACGAGGAGAGAAAACTCTGATTTTTTATAACTTAATAAATTTTATACACTATTTTTGTGTTTATCGGGATGATTTGTACGTTTGTATGTGTATACATAATGAAATACTGCCGTACATTGTCAGTAATTCCAAATGACCTGTTTGTGTTATAACCTCAAAAAAACATATAATGAGATTTTATTGATTTAATGACAATGACTGAAAATGGAGGATGTTGTAAGGATATAACATTCTATTTTTATTATACGGTTAGTTAAAATTGCTACGATGAGGTACTCTCTGTGTAAATAATTCCTTTGTAAATGTTTGGATAATTCTTGATGTAACTTCATAATAATATTAAGTGATAAAAGCTTTCTCAAGGCTAATTTTTAGTACAGAGCTGTTTAACTCCAGTCAACTAATAAAATACATTGAATTTTTTTTTGGTATGCCTTATCACGATCTCATTGAAATAGATTTTTCTAGTCCCACAAACTATATGCAACTTCACATGATAGACAAGAAATAAATATTAACAATGAATTAGAATTCCATATGCTTTAAAATCTCGAAGAAAATAACTCAACTGAATAGTAAATGTAATCACATTATGTCAACAAGTATATCTGGAATTATTCTTATGGTAATTAATGAAAGTTAGTAGAAAACTCTAAACTTAGTGTTGACATTCGTCAATAAGAAGTAAATTGTGCTTCAAAACAGATAAGTTACTTTTTTTTTTCGAAACAACAGAGTATTAAATGAAACCAAATGTCATGTAAAAACCAATAAATAAGCTATAGAATATTGGTGAGTGATTTTTTTCTGTTCAAATATGTCGTCTTGAAAAGTGACAAGTTTCTTGTTAACTTCATTTAACCAATCATCAATGTATCTTATTATATAAATTTCATTTATTTGTGTTGTACATTTTCTTTTTAAATACTTAACAAATAAAAATATTATGTAATAGGTTGCATTTTCTTTTTAATTTCCTCTCTTTTTTTCAGAGTTTGTCTACTGGCTAAAAAATTAAATACAAGAATCATTTAAAAGAAGGTAAAGTTACACTTTGAATTTTCAATCTTAAATCATTCTCTTAATTCAATATTTAGTCTTTTATTAGTGTACAAAAAATAAATTGAGATTTTGTTCAGTCAATCAATCTTCCGGAGCACTGACCTTCTTGGCAATAGAATAATATTCAGTTACTTGCTTTAACACCGATTTTCGTGTTCTGTTGTTGTTTTATCTTAATTTCTGTTCAAAATTCATTTTCGTATTCTTTAAAATAAAATGTCAGATGAGGTCATTGTAAATGCGAATGAACAATTCAATTGTTCCAATTGTAATCTATCATTAATTGGACAAAAATATATACTGAATGATGAGAAACCATACTGTGTTGCCTGTTATGAAAGTAAATTCAGTCATACATGTGAATTATGCAAAGAGAAAATTACCTGTGATTCTAAAGTGAGTATTATCTTTTTTTTTTGTTAAACTATATAGTTAATTCAAAATGTTTCGCATTATCGAACAATATACAAAAGAAAAAAGCCCTTGAAATGTACTGAGTATTTCATTGATACATCATTTTACTTTGAAACTAATCTACAATATTCAACTTCCACTTTATACAAAATCAATTCATAAGACTTTTGAATCCTGATAGAAGTATGTTAATATTCACGTGGTGGTTTTCGGTTCATTCGTCTACACTTCCCAAGGTCAAATAGTTTTTAATATATCATTAGTAGTCAAGACTTATTACTTCTCGATGATTAAATCTACATTGAGTACACGACATAGGGATCATGCTATACTCTTGATCGACAGATTTAGGTCAGTATTTGTTGACTATGGAGAACAAATAGTTATTATTCATTTACGTGGTACCTATAACATTTTGATATAATGTTATTAGGAATAAAATGACCTCGCAAAGTCAGTTCATCAATTTTACTGATTATTTAAGTTAGTTAAGAACAAAATTATTCGAAAAGTAAAATGCATCCATTGAGTATTTTACTATTATACACAACCTAATAAGTTTATTTAATTCACAATATTCGTATGAATGAGTATCACCTATTTTTGTCATTTGTCAAACTCTCTGGCTCAGCAGCTTGAAGTTCAGTATTTAAACTATGTGTTTCAAACTAGTTTACTAAAATCCGTCAAGAAAGTTAGTTCTCATACCCTAAACGTGGTAGGTAGCCTAATATGTCAATTTATGTCTAGTCAGAAAGACCTATTTGGCTGTTATCATCGTAATCATGCATTGTTGATATATATTTAGTATATATAAGAATTTCAGTCTTATCCGACCTTGTCAGTCATAGAAAAAATTACGAATGGCTAATAACACTTTGTCACTTCAAAAGACATCTGTTTTGAAAGTCTGGCTTACAAATCCCTAGAGGATTATACAAAGCCTTTTCATAATAGTAATGGCAGTAATTTGTATTATTATTGTCTGGACAACAATTTCACATCTGGATTTGTTGAAATGGTGACTTTTTCAAAAACTATCTACTTCTCTTTAAACTATCAGTGTAATTGTATGTTCTTTGTCCTATCTCTATTATCTTGTCTCATAGAATTAATTTTTTTCAAATACATTTCTGTTACCTAAAATCTCAAAATCTTTTAGATAAATCATAAAATAATTTAGTGAAATTGAGAAAACCTCATTGGAAAATGGCAATTATGTGCCCATTATATTGGTTTAAATCTCCTAAATGATTTTCGTAATGTTTTCATTGAAAATAATAAAGAAGAAACCATTTGATAACTTCCGACGACCACTTAACGTGAAAAATATGGTGTATTCTATTGTTCTGAACGAGAACACAAGTGCGGGGACAACCAAATGTATTACAACGCAAAATTACAGAATCTCTTAATAAAATCTGAGAACCATACAGTAAATTCCTGATTTGCAAAATATCAACCAATTGTCTCAGACTTCATTGTTCTTGCATTTCCACATCAATCATTCTCTGTTCTCGTCCTCTTTCCTTCGATCTTCTAAACGTTCCTCGGCCGGACATTTCACTTTTGATTGATGATACATACCATTTATATCTGCCGATATCAGTAGCACACACCGCACTATGTTGAGTTACTTAGGCTAAGAACCGCATTGAAATTTAATCGATAGAATTCGATCAGCACTAAAATAGAACTAGACATTGTGCTGGTCACTATTCAATAGTTTGTCAATTTTAAATATTTCAGTCCTTGTTACATAGAAATAAAAGTTTACCGGACAAATATTTTGTTCAGTTCTATGATTAATCAGTGGAACTCGCAATTCCTTACAAAATCTTACATCTACACTTTCGGATTTTATAATTTGTTTAATTTGCTGGGTAGTTTTTTCATTAGCATTAACTTTTGTAGTGTTGTAAACTGACAAGGTATAAAAGTATTGGTCGTTGAAACTCTCAGCAAATACATTAATTGATTAATTATTTACTGTTTAATCCCGGGTACATCTGAAGTTGGATTGTACACGCGAGACTTGTGAAACTGAGTTGTTTTCTGAATGATTATTCAACTGATAGTGAAATATGATGAGAAATGTTATCAGTCACAGTGAAAAGTTCCCTTCTCGGTTATATGAAATTTTACGTTACCAATGAAATAGTTACTCAAATATCTTAAATGTACTAAAATTGCAAAATATAGGGTGTTAGATAGTGACAGGCCGAGTGTATTATTTTCTCCTTGAAAAGTGAGTATTCAGAGTTCGATTGTATTAGAAGTGCCTAGTGTAAACTACCAGAAAGTCTCTTATTAGAACAAGAAAGTTGTTCAGTTCTCCTCAGCTTTTCAATATTTATCCAGTCAGTGGTACTCCGAACTATAAACTATCCATAAATTAAGCTATCTTTACAAACAACTCATTTAAATATCGATTAATTTGACGTATTGACTGAGAAGTTAGATATTTTTAAGGCTAGAAAATAAATTTGACAAACTGTTGTTTATATCGGATATACAAACTATTATATTGATAGCAGGAATATTTTAAAGATAGTCTTTCTGCACCGATATCAATCACAAAGCAGCTGAAAGTTATGGAAAATTTAAATAAATATCTAACTTTAATTATTTAAGAATATTCCTACCACTCTGGAATTTGTCTTGAAATAATTTCATCTCACTGTATTAATGGGGTATAGCAACTTAAACTGATGCATATATATACTAGGTTCTCCGTTACTTATGATGTTGATGGTTTGAAACTATTCATGACCTTCAGTGTTTTAACCAACAAGCAAGTATTCCATCTGTCTTATTTAAGGGTGATAAATTCTGTTAAGCTGTTATTAAAAAACTGAGATAGTTCGAAAGACTACGAACAGTATATACAAGATTTTGGTAAAATGAAAACTATTCACCGCTAACAATACTTTTTAGATGAACAGCAATCTGATATCTTAACGATTGCTAATGTTGTCAGCAATAGTAAAATTGTACATGTTTTAATAAGTTTTAAAATGTGTAATATAGCAACTCAGTGGTCAGAAACATATCTTTAGGTTTTTATTATATAATCAACGTATCATTTATAAAAATAAGCGGATGGCTTACTTGTTAATGTAAAAGTCAAAGATTTACAAAGATCTATTTAATTTGATGACGATTCTCATCCTAGACTGATGTCATCTAGTTAAGTATTGAAAATCGAATGAACACTGACTGAACTGTATCACGAATCGACTGATGTTGGAATTATGAACTAATGGGTATCAGCTTAGTAGTCTAACGATTTTGTAGTTATCTCAAGGCTTGAATGTTCTGAGCTTTTTGGACATAGGATACACACAAATGACCTCCCCTCCAAAAAAAATAAATAAATAAAAACAACTGACTACTACTTTTTTAAGTTTAAATGGTTCTTCAGCTGGAATTAGTTAGTAATATAGAAGAGACTTCAAATTGTAAGCGTTATTTATTTTTAAAAATGTTTAATTTCCTCAATTTCTTGTTATAAAATCAGCTACAAGGTCGAACTCATTAATTCCAAAGTATTGTAATCTGTTTACAAGGAATGAATAAATTATTAAATATACTTTTGTTTTTCCATATTTGCTATTTATTATCATCTTATATAAGTTGTATTTTTCCAAAGAAAACAAAGATAGGGAAGATAGTACAATCACAAATAAATTTTCAATCATGTTCTCTCCTCCCATGTTATAGAAACTTATATCTTTGGTGGTTTAATAATTACTTCATAACCTTTATCTTATGCTCATTTCATCTTTCCGGTTGACTGGATTCCTTTCGTTGTATGAGGTGTCCAGTTTCATCACATCTTTATGCAAATGTGAGTTCGTATATGTAAGTATGTGTATCTATATAAGTAAGTGAGGGTATGCTTGTAGGTACTTCCTGTTGTCAACATAGAAAATCCTAAGCAAATTTACATATTTATGTTGATTCTGTTCTGTACTTTTTTATATAGTTTAACAATGAATTTCTAGATGAACACATACATACAGATAACAGTAGATTGTTAATCAGTATTATTTTTGTAGCTATAGGTGTTAATAAAAAGATATAAATGATTATTTTTAAAAAGGAGGAAATTAGTCAGATTTTTTTTCAAGAAAAGACCAACAAGAAGAGAATGTTTCAAAACAATAGATTAACCTCTTATTATTATCATTGTTAAGGTTTATGTTGAACAAAGACAGAGTATGAAAGAAGAGCTATTTTGACCTTTTTCAAAAAGTCCAACTGAATTTATTATTTCTACTCTGTCTGTTAGTAGAACGAAAATGAAACAAAAATACATCTGCTATTATTATTTAATAACGATCACTATCCAATATGATGGGCAACAATGATGGTATGCATTGTTTATGTTGTTTTCTTTAGATAAGCTGGAATAAAATTCTGATTGATATAAATAAATAAAATCCTATTTGAATGATATATATGAGAATAAGTATAAATAATCCGGAAATCACGAATTCTAGTTAATGTGTATCTGAAGCCAGAAAGAACTTTTTCCGTACAAGTTGGTACCATCAGTGGAGTAGTAATCTTCCCAAAGTTTATTTTATGTCTCCTGACTGACTCTCCGACTGATCGATTGACCAAAACCCCGTGAAATCCTGCATCATAGTTTGCCATATCGACTGATTAATATAGTCATAATAAAAATTATTGACCATAATAAGAAGTGGTGTCATTAGATATCAGCAATTCAAGCTGTTGACCGATGCGATAGATATCTCTCCATCTTTGATTTTCACTGATGTTAGTACATGATTTAAATATTTCTACGAAATCGTTTATTTTGTTTTGAAATCAATCAGTTCGAACCATTCATTTGTTTTACTGAATGTAATTTTAACTTGGTTCAAAATGTAATATAAAACCTTGGTAATCTCGTTAAACAATTAATTCATCAGTTACAGACTAGAGGTATGGTCTTCTAACATCCATGCAGC